CCTGAGGGGAAATTCGTTTGAAGAACAAAGCACACGAAATCAGTCACAAGCGGCTACACTTGTCAAAAACTTGCCGAGTTACACTTTTTTCCCCTGCATGAAATTTTCTATAATTATTTAGCGTTGAAAATATTTCCCTTGATTTCTTTATCAGTTGCCATGAGCAGGTATAAGGCGTGTTTATAAAGATGTCGTCCCGTGACGTAATTGCAGCCTTCCAGTCCCGTTGACAGAATTAAAGCAAATTCTCGCAGTGTCATTCATTGCGCGCCAACACGAGATCGTCACAGTTTAAGTGCATTAGTGTCATAATTACAGTCCACGACTGTAATCTTGAGACTTACAAGGAATTCAGGAAGTCCGGACCTAGACCTTGTGGTCCACGAGCGAACAGAACTGATGATACAAGTAGCCAAATTCCACTTGAATCTTGACTTACGAGACTTCTAAATTATTATCTTAGTATTTGCAGAAAACTGCTCTGATTTTACAGTGATTTATGTTTATGTAATATCACGTCCTTCGTTTGAATGTGACGAGGAATGTTAACAAGACAAGAAATTTAACTCGAAAAGCTGTTTAATGTTGTGGTTCCTTATGTCTTCTGCGTACGACAAATTGTGTGTGAGTATAAAGGGTTTTTGTGTCAGTTAACATGGCTAATACTTGGGATATCGTAGATCGTCTTACGTTTTCTCAAACACAACTTTTTGGAACTGTTCGGGCCATCGTAACAAAGTGTAGAGGACAAATATTATTCATTGGGGTTCTCAGTCCCCGTTAGACGGAGCTGTTCTCAATACTATTCATGTATTGGTCTAATTTTTTTAATATAGTTTTCTGTTATTTTGTTAGTTATAAAATTCTACTGACTGACCTTTGTTAATATCCGCTAACCTGATCAGAACAGCATTTGTGAGACAGGAAATTGTACTGTATTCTGAATACTATATGATTGTAATTGTAAAGTCGTCAGAAGTTGTATTAGTTTTTGAAATTACAAGTAGCCCATAGTTAAAATTCCGAAAATTTAACATTTCGACTAAGATAAAAATACGTTTATTTTTTGGTTTATCAATCTAAGGCCCCAGACCATATACTCTTACAATTAGTGCCTAGTTAAGGTTATGGCGGATTAGCGCTGATGTTAGTCTGAAGGAATTTGTCCACTAGATCTCAGTTCGAAAATCAGTCTGAAACTTGTAATTCTCCTAAGAAGTTTGTTATTTTCTGTCTCGGACTTTTAGAAGTTCCAGTGTTTCCTACGAATGGGCATCGAGAGCTTTAGATTCCATCGCGTCGTCACAGAGGCCCATAATTTGAAACTGCCTACTCTTTATAGTTAACCATCTTCATAAAATAAATAAATTATTCATTCTTTATACCTATGCTGATACAGCAAGCCATGAAACGTAACACAAGTTAAAATTTCGTGACTCCAAAAACTATACGAAGATTATTATCTGAAATTTAATAAAATAAAAGGAATTTAATTTCTGTGGGCGTAATGTTTGTTTACTTTCCTCAATACTTTTGGCTAGTGTTAATTACCATTTGTACCTTTAGCATCAGCGAAAATATTGCCGAATTTGCTGATAATCAAAGCCTAAAACGATCTACCAATGTATAGGCTGGCGTACTGAAATTGCAAAGGAAACACTTCTCACTTGCATTGACTGTTGTTGGATTGCTCTGTATCTTATTACACTAAATCATTTACTAAAATGATTTTGGGTGATGAATCTTGTTACAGGAATTGAATCCATTTTGTCCTGGTTTATCTGATCAGAATCCTCGTAACAAAATGGCAATTGTCCTGAAGAACGCTGAGTTCGTCTTCGCAGCGGACGAGGAGGAGTGTCTTCGCCAGGCTGTTGACATCTTGATGGTAATTACGAGCATTTTACTTGAATATTTATGTAGCAATTTGAAAGTTTGCAACAAGAGAAAATTTCTAAAAGTCCCTGGTCTTTGTTGGACCAAAGGACGAAAGTGTAAAGGAAGGAGGGAATTGAACAATCTCGGTGTTTTTAGGTGTGCCGTGATTTGTGGGCTAAGAGCCGACGTATTTCTCTGTAATTTGCAGGATGAGCTGTTCGGCGTGAACGTCGAAGTCTACGATAAGCTGACCGTGTCTGCGCTTGAGACATGTGAGTAACCGACAGTTTAGAAAGACAACTGAAGAAACGACATGAGACCTTAGTACGAGGGTACAGGCCAAATACCTGATTGGATTATGATAATAAGGATTATAACAGCGGGAAAATTCTTGACTATTTGAACGACAATTATTTTGAAGATGACTGTCTTCTGGGATGTTGCGCTGTGTAGTCTTGAGGTAGCAAGCGCCTATGAAACGTCGGCGAACTTCTACCAGACTACAGGTTTCAGTATTCAAGAAGACAGCCATTTTAATACACGCTGCCGTCAGAACCTGAAATCTCGACCATTAGCATCTCAAGAAGGTCTTTGTTCTGTGGAGTGTTTATCTGCTACTGTTGTTCCCGTTTCGATCTCCAAGACGTGCTTTTTTCTCCACAGATGTGATGAACAGGATTCTGTCTCTGCCTCGATGGCTCGCAGAGAAAGAGGCTTACTATTTCCTGTACGACAAGATCTCTAAAGGCGAGGGTAAGTCACTTAGGATCAAATTTCATCGGAAGTTATTGTTTCTGTTTCTACAAGCGATTATTATTGAAAATGAATGGGTCATATCGATACGTACTTCTCATTAACCAGTCCAACTGATAGATTTCGATTCAATTTGATGTGGGAGGTCTTAGATAAAAGTTTTAAGATTAATTTTGTTTTGTTCTGTAATGTTACATGAAAATTAATAATATTTTTTATTTATTTCAGAATGCAAAATGTTGACCGGAGTGAGTCTGCCACAGACGTCAACGAGTACATCTGCACTTGTTGTTGTAAGTATGCTGTTGACAAATGACAATCGCGTCTTACACGCTGTGAAGACGTAAAATATTTGATGCTTGATAAGAAGGGATTAAGCGAGACGTAATTTGGATTGATTAAATCCGATCGCCAAAGAACTCAATCTTGTTGTTGGTTATTCAGGACTCCGTTGATTATCTGGGATTCACAAAACAGGAAAAGGAGACTGTATTCAAAAGGGCACGTTCACTGATGGATGTGGCGCTGAAGGCAATCAAAAAACACGTAAGTGCAGCTTCATTTTTGAAACACTTTTGTGACCATTGGCAATAAATGAAAGAGAGATGCAGGTTTTCTGTTGTCTGATCTCAGCTCCCCGTATGTATCTACGGCGTGGGCAAATTTAAAGCTCTTTTTGTGTTGTGCTCTGAAAACTGTGTGGCTGCAGTTGGACAGGAATTTGTTTCGGAGCTCATTTGCTTTGAAATAAAGATTGATAAAAAATGTGAGCATTTGTCGAATTTATCCACAACGATGCTGAGGGCATTATGCTAGTGAGCACAGGTCCTTTTGGCTTCTCGCCAATGCATAATCAAAATCTACGGCCAGTACAAACTTTTTTAATCGTAACCTTTTTGAATGTCTGCATACAAAAGAGAGAAGAAACTGATATAAACAAAATTTGATATAGGTAATCTGTAAATATTTTATCTTCATAGAAAAGTTTGATGAAAAAACCTCTAATAGAAAAACCGGTTCACGGGGTGAGATTGAATCTCAGACTTCCCGAATGCGAATCAGGGATGCCAACCACTTCATACTTTAATTCCGTATTTATGTTTCTACGGAAGCAAGGTACTTGTCTGAGACGTAAAACCAAGTAGAAATCAGAAAAAAAAATACTGATGTTTCTTCTCGAGCGTTGTCAATGGTGTGGCATATGCAAATCACAACGTATCCCTATGGAGAGGCATTTCGAAATCGATGGTGAATGTTGGACAGGAGACAACTATTATTTGTTTATAGTTTAGATGCGTCATGTTTGTTTTTTAAAATTCAAATATATATTTATTATTCAAGTCTATACACAAACTTTTAAATTGTTGATGTTAAAATTTAAAATTAATATTAATATTCTGCAATCTACAATCTACAATCAATACAATCTACTACAATAATAATCTACAATCAATGAAAAGCTTGCATTAATAAATATAAAGTAGTTTTAAAGATAAAAACCTGAAGATGATGCTATGACATCGAAACATGTAGTAGTATAAAGCGCAATATTGTAACATCGAGATAACGATGAATGGCGCAGAATATTAATATTAATTTTAAATTTTAACATCAACAATTTAAAAGTTTGTGTATAGACTTGAATAATAAATATATATTT